ATTTCCCCGTGATTTTATATTTTCCAAACATTTCTGCACGGGAGTATCAAGGTATATAACAAGATGAGGCCAAAAGTGCAGCTGTTTAACTGCAGACTTCCGCACATAGTAGTAATGTTTGAAATCTGAAAATTTAGAGGTAAAATGCGGTTGCACAGGAACAACGGAGTGGAGCTATTTGTATTTCAACGTAACTCCAAACAAAAACAATCGACACCCTTATCGCGTGACCTGAGTAAAGGTTAGCTTTTTCAAGAAGAAAAGCACTCCGTTTAGACTGATGGAACTCTGAGTTACGAAAGCTAAGGAATCCTTCATATACGGTACACCCAACAATGCACAAGTCTCGCATAGTTATTGCAAGTGATGTTGCAGCGCAAGAAAATTAGAACAAGCTCAATGGGGCAACCACAAGTGCAAATCCCAACAGTGAAAGATAAGTGGAAAAGGGGAAGTATTTTGAAAACAGCTATTAAATAACTGCTGTTTAACGCCGCAGTGCGCGATCCGAAAGTTATCACAAGAATGCTGAGTTGTGGGCAAAAGTCGGACCACGGACGGGATTCGAACCCGCATCTTCTGCTTACCGGGCAGTTGCGTTCCCTATTACGCTACCGGGGCCACTTTTGACCACTCAGCTCAATGGCTATTTGTGCCATTGCCTTCGAGCACTCACACGTTCAACGTGATGAGCCGGTTAGCCGATATCGGCAGTCTCATCACGTTGAACGTGTGAGTGCTCGAAGGCAATGGCACAAATAGCCATTGAGCTGAGAGGTCAAAAGTGGCCCGGTAGCGTAATAGGGAACGCAACTGCCCGGTAAGCAGAAGATGCGGGTTCGAATCCCGTCCGTGGTCCGACTTTTGCCCACAACTCAGCATTCTTGTGATAGTTACGAAAACACTTTTGATAATAGATGGTTCGTTTCAGCAATTTCTCAGACAAGCCTTGATGTTCTGTCGACCCCTAGGCTCATCAGTGAGGTGAGAGCTGAAATGACGCGGCGTAAGAGCGCACGTAGCCATGAGGCCGCTCTACTACCTTGAACTCTTTAGGTGCAAGCCTAGAGCTGCATTTCCACTCGCCCAACCTCGTCACATAAACGCGATGCGTTTCCAGCGCAACTGCGGAAGTATACTTGCGAGCTGTGCGGTCTACTTAGAACAGAGACTATACAAGGAGGGTAGTATAGTTGAGTATTCAACAACTGAAATACATCTGCTCATTACAAATCAGCGTTTCTCAATGACCTATGTAATTTTTCAACCGCATGGCATTCGCAAAGACAAAGTCCGAATAAGGCGATCGTTCCAAAACCACTCCTTGACCTTGAAATATATGAACATTTGAGAAGTACTATCACATTCCGAAAGGATCACATTCCAAAATTTTGAAAAACATCTCTAATTAGACCAAAAATTTCTAAATAGAAAACCAAACATACATACGTACAAACCAAACATACATAACACATGTGACATAAAAAGCATAAGCTACGCGCGTAGCTTCATGAACATTCTTTTTGGTATGAGAAATAGCTCAGAGTAATAGCTGCGAGTAAAAGCGTTCCGACTGCAACCATTAATAGTCCAATGCTTACCTGTATTCAAAATGTGAGCCACCGCGTTCAAAAACTGATCGAAACGACTTATAAATATGCGTTGTTGCATCTTTGCTGTCAGGTCGCTCATAGGATTCTTATAGAACATGTCCATGTCAGGTATTCGGAAACTCTCGGGAAACTGAATACAAGTGCTATTGTGCAAGAGATATCACCAACATTAGTAGCCTCAATTTTGAAATAGTAAGTACCAGGTGATAGAACTTCCTCAGGTCGTTTCCATATCGATCAATGAGAATATCTTCCATTTTGAACTCTGGCATGTGATAGAGCCCAAGTTGATCAGCGAGTTCGGCGGACAACTTACTCTGGAAATTTAACCTTGTCAATCAAATAGGGAAAGCGACAATCCTGGCGTCAATATCGCTAGATTCGATACAACTGAGAAAGTCAAGCAACATCAAGCTATCAATTGAGGCTACAGTTTTTTTATGAGTAAATACCCCGATCGGGAACATTCTCAACACGTTCGAGCGGGCACGTACTACCAGGGGTAGACGCAAAAGCTCCTTCAGCGAACAGAGTGGGCTCACGGCAGTAAAGAGTGGGCTCTTCGCTTGTTTTTTTTGCGATTTTTTCATTACTCACTGGCAATTAGGTACAATAATGTAGCTAATAATAATGAGTGAGATTAACACGACTGTGGTAATGTTGTGACTTACACTGAGTTCCGTCTCAGGTGTAAGCAAAAGCTAAGGACCCGGTACGTTCCCACGACAAAAATGTTGGTAGTGGGGAAAACACTGGAAACATCGCACCGACGAATAATCAGTTACTGCTTCACTCTATTTAGCGAGTCCCTGCTGCAATAGCACAATCCCCTGAGTTCTACTGCCAGAAACCCTTTTATCAAAGCCTTCACGCATCTGCTTTGAGAAAAGCTCACTGCTCTCGGAATTCCTCTATATTTATTTGTGGGAAGGAATGAACCAAGATTAACTGAAGATTCCCAGAACTTCACTCTTATGAGAGATATTTCACAAGGCCATCTGAAAAAGTTTGCATTGAAAAGTCACGTCAATCATTTCCACTTCTGGTCGAGCATATGGTTAGAAGGTCGTTCAAGCTTCAAGCGACTACAACAACATACCTTTCACGCTATTGTTTCGCCTTCCACCACGAATAAGTTTCGAGTTTTGATGGAAATGAGGTTTGGTACGATCTTTCAGCATATCAATATAGTGCCATCCCTTCTCTTTATAAGGCCATGGATCCGGATAATCAGGAGGAACTCTGAAAATGTGAACGATCAGGCCGAAACGCAACATTAGTAATTAATTACATCAAAAAAAGGTGTTTTGTGAAAATGTTCCTACAGGTAAAGCAGAAGAATGTGTCACAATTCTACAATAAAAACAAGCTTAATACATGTTTTAAGTATGGTAAATGATTGTTACACGCAACACACAACAAAAATCTAAAGTGTGTGTATTGGTGCAGATAGGAAAGATAAACGACATGTTATCCTGAAAGAAGAGCGAGGAACTAAATGTAATCGAACGCTTATTCGAAGACTAGATAAATATTTATTCGAAGAACTAGATAAATTTATTTTAGTACTTTGCTATCCCTTGCCTCCCTTCAATCTTTGTGCAAAAACGCGAAGGCTGCAAATTTTGTTTATTGCAAGAAGACTCTGAAAGTTCTATACTAAATCATCCAGAACACCTTGCATCTTTTCTTTCCTATTAATTCAGTGTTTGGCACATTTCCTTGCGTCTTACAACAGTAAACAAGATTAACAGATTCCAGACTACGTGACACACATGGAGTGTCACGATCCTCAGAAGCCAGTGTTTTGATTGTTGCGCAAATTTATGAGTTGTTATATAATCCTGTAGGGGTACGAATTCCTGCATATGGTTGGGCCATGAAAAGCTCCGGTAGTTTATTTGTAAAACATTTTTCTAAAGTGTAGCCAATTCATAAAACCCTCGTGCTCTGGAAATGCGTTGCACCTAGAACAATTTGTTGAGAGGCTGAACTACTGAGGCCATTCGGTGTCCTGATCGTGATTATGACACACTCTTGCAGCGTCCGCTGCATTTGGCGCCACGAGGCGTCAGTTTGGCGCCGCGGCTTTTTTCCTATTCAATTTGAAAAACATGCGTTTGAGGGGTGATTAAGGATTCTGACCACAAAATAGACATCTTTCCTTGGAAGCTAGCGCTATTTGGCGCCGTTTAGCGCCATTTTAGCAGTGTGACATCTGCCACCGAAATCCATGTAAATATGCAATTGCAGTTGAGCGAGGTTTCTCATTATAAGTATTTTCGAAGGTGGCGCCACGTGGCGCCAATTTAGGGCTATAGCATTCTTGTCTATGCTGTGCTGTGTCGTCCTTGCTATGCTTTCGCTAAAAACAATCGTGGCGCCAAGATGGCGCCCAGTGGTGTCAAATGGCGCCGGGGCCAAAAACGAATATCATATTCGTGACTGGGATGTGAGATAGCCCCCACGTACCAATTTTCAGAGTGGAATAATTAGTATGAAAATAATCGCGACTGAAACCTGCCCCGTGTGGCCGCGTGACATCACACCAACCCGCATCGAAAAAGGCCGCGGTCACACGCGAACGCGAAATAGGCATCGGTCCGGAACGTGTTAACTGCTACTGGGCTATCTCAGAACGCCCTAATTATGCTTCCGCTGCTAAGGAGTAGCTATCCATACGGTAGCCTGACTAAGCCACTAGAAAAGTAAAGAGTCAGTGCTTCAATGTCGAAACCCCGTAAGGTGTGTTAACAATCCTCACCGCGCTACTCAATGAAAGGGAGTATCGGGAGGTGAGCTGATGAGTTTGCGCCGCGCCAAACCCTAGCTCACTGCTTTGTTGAATCGGGTTTGTTGAATCGGGTAGGCGACAATAATTAGTGGAAAACGGCAGATAGAAAGACAATCTCGTTGCTTGCTCGCTTCAACAAATGGTGAAAAACTGATTTGGCACAGCGATAAACTCATCACGTCCAGATAAGCACCTTCATCCGTAGCGAACGAGACTGTACGCCATTGCCGCGGAGCAAGGACTCAGGCCGGTTGAAGGCAGCATATTATCTGCTTGCCTTTCCAACTGCTGTATCACGTTGAGGAAGGCGCTGCGCAGCGAAATACTGGAAAAAAAATTGCAAGGACTTTCAGAATCTTCAGCAGACCCCTTTGCAGTAAAAAATTCTGAGTGCCTCCCCATGACTAACTATTACATTGATTTTTCATAGGAGATGCACATGTCTTTTTCCAGTGAAAGTCCAGCATAATTAGTTCGTAAATTTCGCTCAAAGCTGAAGACCTTGTTCCAAGGGGTCCTAAGTAAACCGTGGTGACTGAAACCTGAAACCTGAAATGTCAGCCTAACAGAAGTTTCTAGCTTGGTCCTTGGTTTGACTATTTTCCGATTCGACGTAAGAAACATCATCACGAAAATCTTATATGAAAAAAAAACTTTGAAGAACCTACTTCAACACACTCTTGTGCACCATCGTTCTGTTCTGCGGTGTAATCGGAGGTGTTAGAAGCCGCAAGTAGTCGACATGCTGTTCTACCCAGCTTCCCCATAGACGACGCCATGGCCGCCCTGAGTGAGCTCCAAATTGAACGAATAACGAATACTGCCTCGATATTTAAATACTTCTGCCAAACGAGGTTTTTAGATGACACCTTTATTGGCCTAACGTTTCGACCTTCTCGTCTTCTTCAGAGGCCTGAAAATGGCTCGAAGCTTTTAATTTTGGTCGGGTAGGTAACAAATTAAAAGCTTCGAGCCATTTTCAGGCCTCTGAAGAAGACGAGAAGGTCGAAACGTTAGGCCAATAAAGGTGTCATCTAAAAACCTCGTTTGGCAGAAGTATTTAAATATTCGACATCATGCCGAGGTTACAAGAAGGGACAACGTGGAGATTACTGCCTTAGATAATTTTAGGCTACAAATGCCTTGCAGGACTACACCGACAGTACACTAGAATTACAAAGGGTAGTGTCTTACAGGACATCTGTTAGCAACTATTTGGAACTTTGTTCTATTGGAATTTGACTTATTAGAAACAAGCAGTGAATA